TGATGTAAATTTTGACCGGTTGATGAAAAACAAGCTTATGTGGATTCTACACATTTAAACAATTCAGATAAAACTCAATGGGCTCAAGGGAGGCGAGAGAGATGCGGACTCCCGCTGTAACTTTACCTGCTGGTGTCGCTGTTGGACAAAGTTTCTTTAGAAAAACTAGTGATTTTATACACTTTTTAATGTTATATTTTGTAATATTGGCTTCGTTTTATTTTTGTACTACTAATTTTTTCTTATCCAATATTTTGAAGATATATATATATATATCTGTGTTGAGGGAACGACATATTTTTCTCATGGCCACGAGTTTAATGCGTAAACAAACCTGCGTGAGCTAGAGCACCCTCTACTAGGCAGACTTTTGCTCTGAAGTGGAGTCTGTTCATTAAATGGTGTTCTTTTCATCAGGAGGACCCCCGAAAATGCCCGGCACTGTGCTTTCCTTCCTGCAAGATAAGTTGGAGCAGAAGCTGTCCCCCTCCACCTTGAAATTGTATGTTACTGCTGGGCAGATAAGGAGATATAGGGTATATGGTTATATGTTTTCTTTCTTTTATTTTGATTCGTAGGGAAGGTAGTTCTTTTGTGGGGAAGTTAGTTTCTGTTTGTTTATTGTTTTGGCACAAGCTCACCCCCTGAAGATATTGCTTTCTTTTTCAAGAAATTGTTTTGTATACACCAAAAATACTAAGGCATTGAAAAACGAACAAGAGAACAAGAAAAGAAAACAAAAATGAGTAATTAAGAAGTATCATTGTTGTGTCATTTATGTTACACCCTGACCTAGACCAGGGATCGTAACGCTTGGTAAACCCGTGTCTTCCCTTGACAGTTTCACTGTCAGTCCTTGTTATGTTCCCTTGAACTTGTGTCAGGACAGTGATCTTAGACTGTGCTGTGGTCAGTCTCGTATTTTCACATTCCTGCATAGATGGGTCTCCGCACCCCAATGATTGGCGGAATAAATCCGAAAATTAAAATGTCGGAACACTTTTTTCGGCTTCCACAGTAGATCCTTCATAGTGGACATGTTATCTGGTTTACAGGTGTTGGGCAGGTTATGGATTGAGGTGCATCTGTCCTGGCACGCTTGCTCGCCGGCACCTGTGCCATCAATTCTCATAACACAGTTCT